CTGAAACGTGTGACAACGTAGAGCGGTCTCCCTCAGCTTCTGGCGATGAGGGCTTGGGAGTGGGGTGACGTGGCGTGACCAGCTGTGGGGCGGGCGACCACTGTGCGGGCCCTGACGTAGGTTGATGGCGAGGTCCCGCCCAATGCTGCTTGCAGCTTTAATTATTATTATTATTATTATTTTTATTATTATAATCATTGGTCTTTGTCCCCATCGATGTGGCTGTTGTCGTCGTCGTCATCATCTTCTTCATGTTCATCATCATCATCACTATCAGTCACTACTATAAGTAGTTGTTGCTACTTGTTGCTGTGCACCTTTGTCTCTGTCTCTGTCCTTCTGTCTTTACCTCTCTCTCTTTCTCTCTTTCTCTCTCTCTCTAACTGGTCAAAGCAGACGGCCACCCCCACCTGGAGCCAGGGTCTGTCTGAGGTTTCTGCCTCTTAAAAGGATTTTTTTTTTCTTGCCGCCGTCGCCAAGTGCTTGTTCATGGTGGGAACTGTTGGGTCTCTGTAAATAATGCTATAAGGAGTTCGGACCTTCTTGAAAGGTGTCCTGAGATAACTTCTGTTATGAATTGGCGCTATACAAATACATTTTAATTGAAGAATTGAATTCTATTTTTTTTTCAAACCAGTTAGTTGAAACAAAGTCACTTTTTTTATTTTACAGAAAATATAGGAAATGACCAATTGACCCTTCCTATGTCCTGTCACTTTTTGCTCTGTGCTCCAATAACAGCAACTTCATCCTTTCCTGTAATTAGACTGGCTATGTGCTAGTAATCGTATCTTAACTTAGCTAGCTAATGTTAACAAAACACTAGACTAGCTAGCTAATCTACATCAATCATTAGCTAAGGTAGTTTCCTCTGAATATATGTATGTATATGTGTGTTGCTTTTATCTTTTAACCAAGTTCAAGATTTGCCAAAAGTTTAGACTCAGAGAATAACATTATTTACCTACAGGTTAGAACATTTGCTGGTGACAGTTGTCTAACAGCTATCTTACGGTCACCAAAAAAAACTTTAACCTATCTCAGCTTGACAGTAATGACAATAATTAATTCAGAGCTCTTGCAGTTTAAAAGTTGAACTTATTCAACTGCATCACTTATTACATTGGATTTTAAAATGATTAATTGTTCAGCCCTATTTAGTAGGGATGTGAGAAAAAATTGAAAGATCCCACTGGTCTGGTTCAGATTTTAAGCATTAGGTGGTGTGTTCTTTATACTATAAAAGCTTGCAAAAAAAAATTACAATGTATCGCCTTGCTTACAGTATCACAATATACCTGAATCATAACCCCTGTATCGTGATACACATTGTATCACCAGATTCTTGTCGATACACAGAATCCTATTCTGTTTGTGTCTATTTCTATGTAATTAAGACTCTCTTTTATAATGCTAAATGCAGCACTAATGCTAGATATGAGTCCACATTGTTACATGTCCTATTCATCAGCTTCATCATCTGTGTCTATCTTTAGATTTAACCACAATGGAGAGCTTTGCTGGAAGGAATGCTTTGCTTTGACCAACATGCTTATCATGACGGTTGCATAAGCTAATAGCATTAGACATTAAGTGTATGTAATAGGTCATTACTGTTGCTTTGTGTTGCTGTGTAATACATGATCCAATACTTAAATTAAGCAACTGCAACTATTCAGACAAGAAACAACAATCCTTCAATACTTTAACATGACGACTAATTTGTGCATCTCATGACTAGACAGTAGAATATTCCTGTGCAATCAATGAATCCAGTATTTTCTATGCATATTTCCCTGCACCATAGCTGATTGAGTGAATCTATAACTTTAAACACCCAGTCTATCAGACACTGAGGTTGAGGGGTTAAAGGACACAACAGACCCAATAGCACAAAGCCACACAAGGAAAAGGGTTCAAGACTTGTTACCTAACTGACGAGAGGAGCAACGAGAAAGAACAGTGGGGGTGTTTGAAAGAGTTACTTACGATATTCTACAGTCGTGGTTTGGAAAGCCGCCACATTGAGAGGAGACGAAGAAAAGAGGAAAAAATGAAAAAGAAGTTAGTAACAGGGTCAGCCAAACACACACACACACATCAGAGACTGCTTTGCAGTTCTCACTTTCACAGAGGATCCAATGAGCAGAAAAAACAACCTTGAGTGGAAAAGTCTTGACTATATTCAGAATATGAGTGAGAAAGGACAGATTGTTTGTCAGTCTAATTAGGACATGCACACAGATATACACATAGATATCAATGATGAAAATAAGTGAGGGCTACTACAGGACAGATGATGATAGTGCACATATCTACCTCATCTGATCAAAATCAAATTAAGGAGTGGTAAGTAGTAAAGGTAATTTCTCAAACCCATCATATTAGAGGTGAAAGATGCTGATTGGCCAGTATTTTTAATCAAAGGCTAGTTTCAGGTCTATATATGAGTCTGACCCTAATAGCGACCCGGGCAGATGGAAAAAGGGAGGACAGGCACTGACATATGGAGGGAGAAGAAGGAGTGTGGGAGAGACAAGAGGAAAGATCATGGTGGGTGAGCTTTGCCTGTTTGAGGGTCATAATTATAAGATCTGGTTGATAGGTGATAATTAACTGGTCACAAAGAGTGGAGGGCTCCTGTGTGTGTGTGTGTGTGTGTGTGTGTGTGTGTTTTAAGTGTCTAGACCAGAGGGAGGAAAACTGGGGCTCTTTAGCCCCTCTCCAATGGCTCCCTCTGGCTTTGTAAAAATGTTTTAACACCAAATATTAAAAAAAAATGTGCTGCGGCCAGTTAAAAGCAGTAAGGGGTCAGCAGTCAAAAAGGGTTTTCAAAAATTGTAAATTACTGCAACCACATGAGGTCCTCAAGCATACAGTCATAAATGTGCACAAAAAATATTAGGCTGATGGTTTCAGCAGTGAGCGAGATTAGCTGCGGACAGATAAACACACGCGGATAAAAATAAACACACACACACAACCAAACACACGATCCCCTCCAGTTTTGATTATAATTTTCAGTTAATATTAAAATAAACATTTAATTTAACTTGTGTTGTTGTTTTGGAATGTATTACACTTAAATCAAATGGGAAATGTAATTTGGTTAATAAAATTATTTCAATATTAGCAGCCACTGACACCATAGCACAGAGAGGTTCTTAAACATTGAACAAAAGAGGTGGAGAACTATGACTGTTCAGTACTTTATTATGATTATAAGTGGAACTGGCTTCATATATCAGTGAAACCAACAAGTGAGAAATGTGTGAAAGCTCATTACGATTTTGTAGTAGAACACTACATTTAAGCTACAAGTCTTGGAAGGAACAGGTCGAGCCATATCCTGCCAACACGATGGTGGTGCAGTAAGACACCGTGAGTGGGAGTGAAGGCGGATTTCCATGTCATACTCACGCCTGCATGGTGGTGGTGGCTGTCTGAAAGCTGAACATATTCTCTTTGGGGAACCAGCTATTAGGATTGTCCTCTGCAAACAAAAGGAAGGCGTGGTATCAGCCGGCAGATCATTCAAAACACAGGCCTTACAATTAGCAGAGGAGGCTAGTGAATGCATGATGACAAGAGTGAAACATCTGAGGGTGAATGGGGTGAAATATACCTGGTTTCACTGTATTTTCTACAAATTGTACGTGAACACATGAATATAAAAGCTGATGAAATGACTGACGTATATATCTACAATTCCCTTCTCCTACCCATCTTCCCATCCATCTTTCTTTACCCCTGTCATCAGTAGACGCTCTGTCCTCACTGTACATCCTCTCCAGTTTCTTGCGGTGCTTCCCTTCCTCCCGTGGCGAGGTGTCCAGGTCGAGGGAGCGCTGGCTTTGACACGGGGCCCGAATACAGGCCACACAGTCTGGGGTGTCTTCCCGCAACCCCCCTCTCCTTATCCCCAAGTCCCGGATGTTGTTGGCACTGCCAGAGGTCTGCAGCGGCTGTGATGATGACGGCGTGCCACTGTGATGCTGGTGGGCATGGTGATGGTTGCTGCGGTGATGGCTACTATGGTGATGGATTCCAGGGGCAGCTGTGGCAGACGGCTGGCTGGTGCAGGATGAGTTGTGATTTGCAGAGGTAGGGGCCTGGAACAGGGCCTGCTCCCTGGAGCCCTTCAGGACCTCCAGTTGCAGGCTCTCCTCGCTCCCACGGCCCCCTAGGGTCATCCCTCCTTCCCTAGTGATTGTGTACACCCTGGCTGGCTTCACCACCACCACGCTCCCCTCTGGGCCTCTGGCACCTGGTGGGTCCTCGGTAGAAAGGCTGCACTCAATAGAGAGACGACGTTTGGAGGGGCCTGACGGTACTTGAGCCTGGAGGGTGTTGACTTGAGGCTGACACTGTGGATGAGCACTGGGATTGGATTGGCTGGACTTGTTGGATTTAGCTATGGGCAAACAGCGGCTCTGTGTTGGCAGATTGTTGTTATGCAAGCGGCTAATGTCTGGAGAGTCGCAGTCCTGGCCAGGGAAGGTGTCAGACAATAAATGATCTGGAGAAACAGGGACAGAGAAGATGGAGTGAGGTAACAAGAAAGAAAAACATAGTGACAAATAAATCATGTTGTCCATAATTTATACAGCTTTTATAAATGAGTACAAGATAAATACCTAAAATGAAAATGTAAATTAACAGAGAGAATGTTTGTTGGCAGCATGGCAGTAAACATTTGCAATCCAGTTAAGCTTTGGGGGCATGAGAAAAAAAAGCAGAGTGATGGCTGAGTGATAGAAATAAGCAAAGAGGAAACGGATGGGCTGGTATGGTGTGGAGCTTTGGCAGAAAGCCCTGTTGTCCTGGAGGGTCACAGAGGATAGATGCACCTTCTCACAGAGCAAGCAGCTGCAGTGCTGCAGGCTTGTAAATAAGTGTAAGCTCCTGGGAATGGATGCAATCTGTGCTGTGGATGAACAAGTATGGGACACACTTGTTGCAGACTGATACTTATATAGACTTAGCAGAAAGTTCTGTTCACTTCAAGGCTAATTCTAGATCTTTTTTTACTTTTTTCGCCCAACAGTCTGAGTCTGCCACTGGACACCTGCTATTTACTTGACACCAACACCAACAACCAGCTAAATGCATTCTTCTGCAATTTTTCAGCTGAAAACCTCACAGTGGCTGGAGGTTCCCTGCATCACATTGATAAACTGCAGTAGTAAGGATGGTTTGTTTTTCTTCCAGTTGTGAGGTTAGGCTGTATGTATTATATGTATGTACCACTGCATAAAGTTGGAGAAATGTTCCACTACAATACAGCTGTATTGGCTGATGTAGAAGTATGTTAGACTCCTGGTATTGGAGTTCCTTGCTGATGTTCAGTTCAGTTGGTTGCTAGATAATGATTTTTATTTCCACAGTGTGTGTGTGTGTGTGTGTGTGTGTGTCTCACCCACCTGCTCCGTTGTGGTTCTCTGGATTAGTATTGGACAGGTATTCTCCGAAAGCTCTGGCTGCTCTGTAGAGATAAAACAAGTGCAGCAGTTAGTCCTCAGCCCTACTGCACAACTTCTATTGTCAACAACACAGAGCAGTGACTCATAAAGAGTCAAGGTTTACAGGATTCTCTTGACATAAACAGTCTGTCTGATATATTTTCTTTTTTTATCTGTGAGGCCTCTTCATGGAGCTGTCATTACATGCCAGTGAAGTAGATTATACCACCACAGAAGGCTGCAAGAGGTGATGTTATTGTTAGTGTTCTGAATCCCACTGTAACAGCCGTCTCTCACCAGGGTTAACAGCGTGTTCTTATACAGTGACTGGAGGACTTGGAAACAGCTTGGAAGCTACACAAAGCTGATAGGCCCCGTAAAGCCAGGAAATCAACACAAGTACATACTGTATATATACTGGCAGGAACAGTGAGAAACTGGCATGTTGTGCTGAATGTGGCTGAACAAGTATATAAAACATAATTTCCTCTCTAACAAATAATTAGAAAAAAGATTTAATGGCCGTTTTGTCCAAAGCACCTTATGCAACCAGTAGTGCATTCATATTCAGCAATCGTTGAAACAAAATGCCATAGCCTGTATTCTGCACTGCAACAGGACCACATGTGTACCGGATGAAGAAAAGGCTACACTGGTTCAATGTAGCCTCTCTGGAAGGGGGGGGGGTCCAGGCCTCGCTCCATGTAAAAAAACATAATCGGGCCAATCAACACTATTGTAACCTTCATATTGTATGAATCGTGCAGTCTATTGGTAGGACACTGGGTTTTGGGGGATTTGAGTCAAATAAATGCAAAGAGTTATAAAAAAGGAGAAACGATGAAAAAACGATGAAGCTTGTTACACTCAGGTTTGAGTAAAATTTCTAACTTCCATTTTTTGAGCATTTTTTAAATAGTTACGTAATGACGCCTTATACATTAAGCAAATTAGTGTATGTGTAGTGTGTCTATATCTATGACTTTCTCCACAGGCTTTAGCAGCTTTCCATTAAAAATTGTTGTCTGTTTGACAACCACACAGGGAGCTGAGGGCTGTCTTATAAGCTATACAGTAGCTGTAGGCTATACAGTAGTCACTGATTGCTATTTTCTTGGTCATTTCTAATTTCAGATTTTTTAAATGACCTGATTCCAATTTTGTCTGATTCTGATTTTCTTTCTTTCTAAGAACTACAATTGACAGCATACATTGTACAAAAAATTGTAGTATAAATTCTCTTTAACGTTTTCACTTCCACTTCATTTTTCACTTTATTTTAGAGTTTACTCACAAACTACTTTAATGTGCTCACCTTGATTTTTTCTTTTCCACACACACCTACACCTCTCTTTGCACACCCGCTTAGATTTATCCTTACTTGAAAGGCTACTGTATCATTATACTGTAGATTATATTTCCTTACACAAGAACTCAGTCTATTTGATCTATGAATAATAATATCCTGCTCGAAGTAGTTGAAACAGACACATGTAACTGGAAAAAATCAGTTGTACTATAGTGTGTGATCTCTTTCCCACTTTTCTCCTTTCTTCAGTGGAATTATTGGACATTGTGGTC